ATAACAACAAAAACTCCCAAAAACGCCCCGGTGTTACGTATCAGAGCAGTCCTACGATGACGCCACAATCCAAGCTAGCTAAACACCTGGATTGTCTGTACTTCTAAAGAAGCACAAACCCCAACAACAACAACAACAAAGGGGTGAGAATCACGATCAAATATTAACGGTATAATAGTACATGAAATAAAGGCAGAAACATATAAAACATTATTTCATATACACCACATCCGGACCTACTATCCCATCATCAACAAATCACAACACCCAACAATGCAACACATGTTACTTACACAACAATATACGGTACCGACTCACAACAACGATGGGCACCGGGCCATCAATCATCCACAAAGGAGCACACATCAACGACGGGCACTTGGCCATCAACCCTCCTCACAGGGAGCACATCGCACCGATGGACACCTGGCCATCACCCTCCTCCACTAAGGGAGAACAACGATAATATCGATGGACAACTGGCCATCACCCTCCTCCACTAAGGGAGCACATCTCCGATGGTCACTGGTCCATCACCCTCCTCATAGGGAGCACATCATCAACATCGATGGACACCTGGCCATCACCTCTACACAAAGGGAGCATATCAACACAATCGATGGACACCTGGCCATCACCCCTCCACTAAAGGAGCACCACAACACAACATACCATGCATAACCCCAATGCACGCACACAACAACAATCACACACAAATAACATACACAGTCCCTTGACCATATCTCAACATGTATCATACATACATATATCACACATCACATACACGTCTAGCACTCAAGGTGCAATCCGATCCTATTGATCCAACATATCTCTCACACAGCATATAAACACAACGCATAATAAGCGTATCGATCCTACGGATCCACTCATGACAACACATCACCACAATACACTCAATGCGTAACGATCATACTGATCCATATATCTCACACATAGCACATAGTGCATACATATAACATACACATCCATACATATTTATACTTAACACATAATCCACCTATTATGTCAAATGCGATAAACTTCGGCCACACGACCCTCATAACCCTCAATATAATCACAACACTCATATATCATCACTGCACATCCACTTGATCGCACTCAGCATCATCAACTGCACACAGCCCTCAAAAACCAAATTCTGCTACACTCGCTACCTGCTCGCTACGCGAGCTCCTAACGAGTGTTCGCTACACGTTCTCCTAGCGAACCACACTTTTGAGCTACTGGAAGTGTTTGTCACCACCTCGCTCAGCGAACTTGCTAGCGAGTACAAGGAAACAACCACTGTCAAAGCTCGCTATGCGAGATGCTAGCGAACGCTCTCCAGGCACTCGCCTAGCGAAGGGCTAGCGAAGACCTGCGAATCTAGAAAAATAACACTGCTGTTCAAAACTCAGCAGCTCCCCACTCTCAATTTTTCATCGAAATAACATCAAAATCATCGGCTCAAGGTTCTACAACTTAGCTACAACACCTAAACTCATTTCCACCCGATGAAACACCGACTTTTGCCGATCAATTTGTTCTCGACTCAGAACCACATTCAACTCCGAAACCCTCAATTCACCCAACAAACTCACTACAGCACATGCAACAGTTTCTAACACAATGATCACAATCAAAACAGAATTATCAATATGCAAAGACATCAATTTCATCATCAAATCATGGGGGTTAGGGAATTTCCCCCATTCTACCATATATTCATGTAAATACCTATTCAACCAATCAATCCCCCCCTTACCTCGAATTCAATTTCGATGATGATCAGCTCCTATCCTTGCTCTTGATCGCTGAACTTTGCTCTTGCTCCCTCTTGCTTCTCTCACGCGTGTTCTTCGTTTTTCCTCTACCGTGTTCTTTCTCTTTCCCTTTCTATATTTCCAAAAATGCCAATCATACCCTTAATACCCCAAAATTATTTTTAATCCAAATAATAATATCTCTCATCATTCTTTATTCCAAAAAAAACAATAATTATATTATTATTTTAATAATATTATTTAATATGATAATAATAACAATAATATTAATAATAGTAACACTTTTACTAATTATCATACTATTATCATCATTGATCATATTTTCTAATATCATTGAACTTAATTCCTCAACCAAATCTACGCAAGCACATCGAAAATGAAAATAACACCGAAATTGAAAATAATTAAAAATGGGTGTTACACAACGCACCAGGGATTTGAATCTACACGATACAAATCTAAGCTAAATATCTGCTTAGGGCCGACCATTCTATTTGATTTCCATTCAAACAAAACAAATGTTATCAAAGAAATAAAGTGCATCAGTGCTACACTCACAATTCTAAAAAGACTAACATGGTTATAAGGGCTCAAATATTATTGTCAAAGGATCAGGAAAATGTCCAAAACGTTACAAAATGCATTCGTAAAGGTTGACTAACGATAAAACGATTATGAACCAATGCTCTGAAGAGAAAAGTCTCTAATTTTAATCTAAAAAAAGATTCTCAAGGATTGAACCCTAACTCACCCGGGTCATGTAGAGAATGAAGCAAAATATATTGGGAGTTTGCCAACCTATGAACGTCTGAATCTTTTAGGATTTGGTTATTACTAATATTAAAAAACCCACTTGGGCTATCACAATTCTAATAACAAAGCCAAATGTTGACGTAGTTAAAACGAGACGTCAACTAGTCGAGATCCCGCTAGGGTTTTCCGATTTCTCTATGTCTAAAACCTATCAGATTCTAGGATGACAAGTGGTCGAGAACCCACTAGGGTTATCCAATTTCTCTATGTCTAGAACGTATTGAGTTCTACAATGACAATTAGTCGAGATCCCACTAAGGCTTTCCAATTTCTCTATGTCTATAATCTATTGGGTTCTGCAATGACAACTGATTGAGGTTCCACTAGGGCTCTCCGACTTTTTTTATGTCTTAAAAAGGTTTGGAAGCCCGTCGAACTAGAGTCATGATGGCAATTGACTTCCCTATAAAAGTCATCATGACAAGGAGAGAGATGAGATCTGATAAGACATGCATCATCATTACTTTTAAAAACCCATTATCACATGTCATCCGGACATGAGACGACCGTTGGATTAAACCAAATGGGATGGAAATACAACCCACTCAAGAAGAAAGAATTTCGGGATGATATGTTTGAACACTTCATCTCGTTGGGTCTTATGACTAGGGGGCTTATGTACACCCCAAAATTCTCAAAGTAGTGTTTTAAGTCATTAGGACAAATAGGTGAAAGTCAGGCGTGCCAGGTACTTGAAAAAGATAACTATTATCGAGTTGCTACTTATGAGCCAAATAGGAGTCCAAGTCATAGAGTTCTCAGAGACATGTTTTTGGACGGTGAGTATAAATCGGTGTAACGACTATAGGGTATGTACATTTTATATTCTTATATGCCCAGATGGCTTACTTAGTCAGGATGAACTCATCTCAAATTTAGAAGGGATAGCCAAAGCTCATTCGTCGATTGTGAAATTATGATTTGTCTGTTACAACATTCTTCCATAAATCATAGAACATTATGACCTTCGTCAATAATTGGCAGTTGTATATGTTATTCTACCAATGACCACCAAACCGTTACGTGTGTCCATCAAATGTACTTGTGTGAGTCTCTTAGAATCTTGGTAGAGGGAGAATAACAATATAAATATGGGGTAAACAACACTGGAAAGAGGGGGGAGAGATAGACGGATACACAAGAAAACCTTAAAAGATCACAAAAATGATGGTCATTCCTCTCTCTTAAACAAACCTCCCGAACACCTAATTTCCATTGTGTTTGTGATCTTTCCAGATTTCGCTTCAGGAGTTTATCTAAAAATGTTTATCAAGAACAACCATAAGCAATCTTAAAAATATATGAAATTAAAAAAATAGTTTAAATGTGTCAGTATTATCTTAAGATTTTGAGAACTACCCATATTTAATATTACAAATTACTCATCATAAATAGATAAAAGCAACTAAAATACAAGATGATAAACATGTTTACATAAACTTACATTTAATGTTGCTCTTAAGATTTGATTCTCCTATTCATTTAATACTGTTCTTATCATTTGATTGATTCTTTGTACCAAATACCATAATATTCTCACTTCTTTATTTACTTAAATATTTTTTCTTGACTTGATAATACATACGGTAATTTTGTTTTATTTCATTGTTATCATCAAAATTTAATGCAACAAAAAGAATAAGAAGGGTTTCATACTTTGGGTCTATCAAATTTCATAAATGTGTTAATTAATAAATTTATCACATAAGTTGTTGTAATTTGTTTTTCTTTAATAATTTTTATGTCACTAAAATAAATTTAGAGTATAAAATGTCATTTTCAAAATGATTACACAAAATAATATTTATATAAAAGTTTAATTAATATTCACTTTAAAATAAGTTTACACTAATATCTAATAAACTACCATCATTTATCATGTAATCAAAATAATTTTAAAATTTAAATATAATTAAAAATGTAGAATTATTTAATTTTAATAAAAATATACTATATTATAATTAATTTAAAATTTTCAATCTAACTTAACAAAATTAATTTATACCGAGTGCATCATTTAGTTTCTCACATTATTGTTTTCTTCACGTGCATATTTTATTTTTCGTTTAAAGAAACTTCTTTTTTTTTTAAATACTAAAATCATATTAAAGTTAATTTTCACGCACGCACACGTGTCATGAATTGCATTATCCGTGTTCTTCTCGTTTCTCCCCAGCTACTACGGCGCAGTCTCTTATAGAAAGCTGCAAGCCACGAATTCAGAGTTCACGAATTTCAGAATTCAAAGAGAAATCCGTAACAACTTGCTCACTTCTTTATCACGCAACCTTATTTTTCTTTTCACTTCCTTTTATTATAAACAGTTACAACAAAACTCTTTCTAACTAACTTTTTTTTTTCTCTTCGCTTCTTCAAAGTGCCAAAGCCACAACAATATCGAAAATGCAAGTTTCAGGTGCAATCAGCGACGTTTTGGTGGGGCTTCCATCTTCATCATCGCTCCGGCCACCGGAATTCCGCCATATGCATGCTCACGACGCCAAGAATTTTCTTTCCGGTCGATTTCTTAAAGTAAGCTTTTCTTGACTAAATCTTTACTCTCTTGTAATCTGCTAAGTTGGAAAATGTTATGAACTGATTCCTATAATCATAGATTTAAGGTTACTATGATCAAATAATTTTACAGTTCATAATTATATTTGATTCACGATTTGGAAATAGGGTTTTGGATTCACAGTTTGAAACTCAATTTGATAACCGCTTGTTTCACATGCTGCAGTGATTGTTTAGTAACTGTTAAGTGATTTTTCCTTGCAGAGTTGTCCTCCATCTTACTTTGTTAAACACAACAATGAACCCTACAATTTCCGAGCTAGAAGATTATCTGTGAGAGCATCTGCTGAATCAAGTGATAATTTTGTGCCTTCTCCTCCTCTGGAATTTGAGTCCCCAGTTGGTCAGTTATTGGAACAAATTTTGCAAACTCGTCCTCATTTAGTTTCAGAAACCATTGATCAAGAGCTAGAGAAACTTCTGGCTGAAAGAGATGCCCACAAAGAAGAATCTTCTACTTCAGACGTGGATTCTCTTTATAAGTAAGTACAACAATCTCTTTTTAACTATTTCCCATATTCTGACTAGAACTAGCTATGTGGAATGCAAAACTTAATACAATAAAATGGATTTAAGGAAAACTTAATAGCAAAGTTTAGGCACACAGTACCCATAACTAAGAATAAAAAATCTTGGAAGCTCTGCTCATGATTTTGAAATTTTATATTGCTTTGGGTACATATTGTGTTATCATAATGTATATCATTTTTCCAAGTCTAAAGGTCTTCATGTGAACTGTTAGTAGGAACGTTTGCATATATATGTTTTAGGTTTCCTTTTGTGATGTGTTTTTTTTACTGATGCATAAATAGTTAATGATTAAAGCCGCAGTGTTATGAAAAATGCTATGTTTTTGGATAAACTGCTTTTGAGAGTTTGTTTGACTTAAAAAGAAGGTATCCTGAGTAATATGAGAATTTTGGATAAACTACTTTTGAAAGTTTGGTGACTTAAAAAGTATCCTGAGTAATATTTATATGAGAATGGAAGAGCAAAACTTGGATCTGTTTCTTGGGTAATGTGTGTATGATATGCAGTAGAACCACTGTCACAACATGCGTCAGTGAGGCCATGCTATTTGTAGCTTTGAAAAAGCATGTTGGAATTAGAGTTAGAATGTAAGATTGTGTTATCAGCATATTTAAACACTATTAGTCCATATTTTTCCATCAAATGTCAGTTTGTTTAATACCATGCTTAGTTAGTGGATGCTTAAAAGATACTTTCCTTTCAGTTTTATGAGATTGGCTACAGGCAGTGTAGTTAGTATAATTTTTCATGCCAATAAGATCTTTTCATGTCAACTGTATGGAGCTAGCTACTTTATTATTAATTTAAAAACATGTATAAGTGCGTGTACACAAAACTGCGAGTAAATGGTACTCCTTATCTCTTTTCCATCTCATGTTAATCCAAATCAATTAGGACTTGTGTGCTCGGCAACCCTTTGTATGCTAGACCTATGGAAGATTTAAAGAAATTATAGTAGAATATCTATATCAATTTTGGTTGCTTGTTTATTTAGTTATCGCCACCGGTAGTGCAAATGTGATTAGTCTTGTCAAATCTGAATTTCAGGAGGATATCTGAAATTAAAGAGAGAGAAAAGCGTACAACATTGGAAGAGATAATGTACTGCTCAATCGTAAACAGATTTAAAGAGAGCAAAATTTCAATGATACCAAAAATATCAACAACCTCAAATCCTAATGTTCCAGTGGATTTATGGCCAAATCAAGAATTTAAGCTAGAAGCTGTTCATTCTCCAGAGGCATTTGAGATGATACAGAGTCACTTATCTTTGGTACTAGAAGAACGGGCTGTGGGTCCTCTCCAGACAATTGTTCAGATTAGCAAAATCAAACTGGGAAAGTTATATGCTGCTTCAATAATGTATGGATACTTTCTCAAACGGGTTGATGAACGGTTTCAACTTGAGAGGTCAACGGGAATACTTCCACAGGATGTTAGTAAAGGAAATATGAGTTTTGATGAACCATCACCGCCAAACAAGCTCTGGGATTCTGATTCCTTGATTAGGATCTATCCAGATGAGGAAGGTTATTATGAAAAGGATTACATGGATACTAGTGAAGGAAAATCATATGGACTGAAAGCATATGTGATGCAGTTGGATGCGGATACACTTCAGAGACTTGCTTTCTTACGCTCCAAGGAAGCTATATCGTTGATTGAAAAGCAAACTCAGGCTATCTTTGGAAGGCCTGATGTTCAGGTTACCGAGGATGGTTCAATCAAAACTACCAATGATGAAGTACTTTCACTTACCTTCTCAGGCGTGACTATGCTTGTTTTGGAAGCCGTTGCTTTTGGATCATTCCTATGGGACCAAGAAAACTATGTTGATTTTAAGTATCCTTTTCTTGATAAGTAGAAGACTGTATCTGTTGATTTTTTCCCCATTCGTTTAGATTGTAAATGTAAAGCATGGAGCTTTATCCCAAAGAATTGATTGCAATTCTAAACAAAAGTAATTTTCCAATAATTCTGAACTAGAAAAAAAACCACAAACATGAGAAATATAGTAAATGTATGTACAGTGCATTAGGTAGAACCCCAGGATAATCTTCTCATCAATATTGGAAGAGCGAGCTTTGTAATTCATGCAGAATTTCTATTGTGTAATTTTCTTTAAATTTCAAATAATAGCCTGGAATCTCATGCAATGTTTCTTACTTTCTTTTATGCGGCCATGGACTCACATTGTTAGTAAACTGATATTTTCCCAAATAAATAACTACGTTAATTGAAAAATGTATATTAAATGCTAAGAGTTAATATTGATGAACTAGCATGCTAGTCATACTCTCAAATGATTTACTTGGTCACTGTCTTTATTAGTCAGATAAACAGTACCCCATATTTTCCCTGCAGTTTGGCAATCTTGGTATTTTCATATTTGAACTTGCTCACAATAGATAAGAGTTAGCTTTTGAATTAAGTTGGTCTTTAGGCATTATGAACTGTTTTAACTACATCTCAAAGGTCAAAATCATCTGATTTTACTAGTAATAGTGAACAAGTTCATAATTTCCTTCTAATAATGATTATCTACCACTTAAGTTTATTTCTGACATTGACAACTCACCAAGAGTTTTCCTAACTTAATCTTGCACAAAGGCATAATATGCAAACTGTCAAGCATTATTTGCATCTTAGGCTAAAGGTTCAACTCAAAATTAAAGATAAATGATTTAATTAGAGGGTATCATCTCATCAAAACACTAATATTATAGAGTCTGAGATGATTTTATTTTATCAATTAATCTTGAATGGTTTTATTTCATCGTTTCTTTGGTAATGTTGGCTAAATCTTAAGCATGTGTTATTAGATTGAGTGTCAAACTTTGCTTTGACATCTCGGGGACTGCGTCCGACCAATGGTCGGTTCCCCTTTATTGTCTAGGTGAAAACTTGGTTGAAGGCTGACATATCCTAGCTCCACCACCTACGCTATGGAGTGGCTAACTACCAAGAGGTGTGTGTGCCAAATGCGACTTCATTTTCCTTATTTTGAGGTCTCTTTGCTTTAATCGTATGCATTGTTCTACATTGGATAAGACAATCATACAACTCAATGAAATTTATCAGAATACTTGATTCAAGGACGTTGCAGACTTTCTTGATTTGCATTCAGATAATCTTAGAAGAAAGATTAACTAAAATACCAGTTGGGCTTTGTAGCGTCATATATTCTTGGAATGAGTTTCCGGAACAAGGTTTTCGTAATGTGAGCTTTGTTTTCTATATTAGTTTTGATTTTATAAGGACCTTCCCAATTGACAACGAGCTTACAGTCTTTGACGTTAACTCCATCAACAATTCAAAAAGCTTTAACACGAGGTCTACATGCTGGAAAATTTTGAGGCATGCCCGCTTGTTGTATTTGGCAGCAGTTGCTTGTTTTACGACAACACTCATAAGAGCGACAAATGCTATTTTTTCTTTGAGAAGGTCCATTTATTCCATGATAGCTAACATGTTATCTTATTCTGCCAAGGGGTGTGTTGCCCTCCAACTAAGTTCTTCTATCTCAACCGGGATGACGACTTTAGTCTCATAAGTAAGTTTGAAGGGATTTTCATTCGTTGTGAAATGAAGTGTGGCTTGTACACCTGGAGGACATGCAAGAGTTCATCTGTCCAATTTCCCTTGACTCTTTAAACTCTCCTCTTTAATCCTGTTAACAGAACTCGGTTTATTGCCTTTACTTGTTCATTTGTTTGAAGTTGTTTTACTAATATGAAATGACGTCTGACATTCAAATCTTTGAATAATTTGTTCAAATTATTATACGTAAATCGCGTCTCATTATAAGTGACGACAAATTGAGGAATTATATACCTGGCCAAAATGATTATCTCGAAGAACTTCTGTAAGCTCGTTGTAGTGATTTTTGCTAAGGCTTTCACTTCTATCCATTTGTAAAATAATTAACAGTTACGATCGAGAATTTTATCTGACCTTGGGCCAGGGGGAAAGGATCAAGAATGTCCATACCCAATTGTGAGAAAGGTCAGGGCGATGCAGATATACTTAACTCGAATGAAGGAGTTAAGGGGATCCTCGTGCTTTTGGCACCATTCACACTTCTTCATGTACTCCATGGCGTCCCAAACCATAAATAGCCAGTAATACCCCACTCTGAGAACTTTCTTGGCCAAATCCCTGACTTTGAGGTGTTACTTGGATATCCCTTCATGTACCTCAACAAGGGTGTACATAAATCCTTCCCTTTTGACGCATTTGAGTAGGGGTTGACTAACCTTTCATGTATAAGACCCTTTATAACACGGAGTAGAAATAACTATTCTCCTTGCAATACCATATTCGGCCGGATCGACAAGAAATACTACATGTTAAATATTCTTGTGATGGGTGATATCCACAAAAGGATTGTGAGGCGCATTATGTAATCTTCATTGCCACCTTGAAGCCTCGATGCTTTGACTCCTTAGAGTTTCTTGTATAAATGAATGGTTTATATCCAAGGTTATAGTGTTTCGGGAGTTGAGAGAGGACAGCCACCTTGGTGTTGTGCTATCTGGGGATGTGCAGGATTTCATGTGATTTGAACTTCACTTACTTTTCCCTCGCCAGGTTGACATAATGCTACAACAATGTATATTTGGTTTGCGCTTACATTTTAAATGGGATACCACTAACTATGAGTTCGTTCACAACTTAAAATTCTTTGCCCCATCTATGCTAGCGCCGCGAGACCGAAAATGAAGGTTTCTTAGTCTTTCTTTAGTATTGTTTTTTGTATCAAACGAGCTCCACGTAGATTGTCCAGAACAACTGGTCCACCGGAACCGTTGTCATAATTCATCTTCAGGTGGATAATACAAGCCACAACCTCTAGTGCTATGAGGATATATCCCCCTAGGATGCAATTGCAGAGTCTTCTACAAGGAATTTCCAAGAAATACACATTCACGATCCTTTAATCATTCCCTTCTCCGACTAAAAATGGCAATTATGCGGTTACACATGAGGGACTAGTGGAATCATTTACTGTTAGAAGGTTCTTTCCTTCATATGGTGTGAGTTCATAATCGCGTAACCCTAACTTTTTGAAGACGTTGAAGTGCATGACATTGCACCAACTCCTGTTATAATTAAGAATCCATGACACCAGTTGGATCACTATGGTGACAGTTACGACCAATGGATGTGTCACATTGGGAACCCCACACACCTTTTCACTGTCTCGAAAACCTAGGATATGCCTATCTTCTTCCCCTTATCTTAGTTACTGCTAACGATCTCAAAGAACTTGGTGCTAGATGTTTTTTGTCTTCTTATTTCCCCATACTGGAGGGTCCACCATCGATTGGAGAGAAATTAACATAAAAGGATGATTTTGAGGTAAACAAAACCAAAATAATTCTAACGACAAGATCAAAAATCATCATCATCTTCTAAGCAAGATCACAATAAAAAATTCTTGATTTTGGAATCAAAAGGACTTGATGTGAAAGTTCGTGAGTATTGAAAATCGATTCCAACAAACGACGCCATTATTCATACATGAACTAGTAATAATGGACATGAAGATATGGAGTTGGCTGGAGCAGTAACATATGGATTTTGGTACGAAAATGCCCAATGACCAAGTCAGTGAATTGGAGAAAAGATGGTGATGTAAATTATGATGAGAACATACTTGAATTAATGCGTTGTTGGAATAAACCCAAGACTTTGAGTAATTCTGAACCAATCTTGGTGAAAAAGATTCAATAAACCGATCAAAATTCTATGTTCTTCACTCTTCACTTAAGTGAAACAATCACACCTTGATTGAAATAATGATCATGCGTAGCAATTGTTAATGGAAGAAGAAAAAAATTGAATAAGAAAGAAAGTTAGGGTTTGACAAAATATGGAAGAAGATGATGATTCTGCAGAGCAACTCTCTCCCCACAAACTGTGGAAAATTCTATTCACTTTGCAACTGCAAAATTCTATGAATTCAAGTTATTACAAGAAAAAAGGCTACTTCCTCTATTTGTAGCTTTAGGTTAGCTTGTTCCCTAAGCCAAAACCCAAAATATACAAAAGCCCAAAATTTCTATTTTGGCCTAAGTCGAAAACCTGTGTCAATCAACCTGCTTCGACACTTTGACATCTAACACAACTCGACACTAGGAAAATTTTGACACAATCTTATTTATGTCGAGCTACACATGCTTCGACACAAGGAATTACATTCTAAACATACCACATAATTCATTGTGTCTGAGCTATCTATATTCATCATAGACCTTAGCTTTTTGAACACTTCGACTTATACTTCTTTCGTCCTGATATTTGCAGTCTGATTCTCAGTTCTGCAGTGTTCCAAGTTCATCTTCCCTCCTGCTACCTGCTCTCAAAGATAATGGAACCTAATTTTGATGTGCTTGCTTTGCCCATGTGTTGTCGGATAATTCTCCAGGTTGATAGCTGACACGTTGTCAATCTTTATGGTAATTGCTCCATGACTCTTCTCTATAATATCTTAGACCAGATTCACCATCCACTTTGCTTGACATGCACATAGATATGCAGTTACGTATTCTGCTTTGCATGACGACAGTTCCACTACTGAATCCTTTCTCCTAGAAATTGGTGCATCACCTAGCATAAACATATAGCCAGTTGTGGATTTTCTATCAGTATCACTACACCAACTTGAGTCGGTGTATTCCACTAACTTGAATTATTTTCATTCACCATCTGCAAGAAAAAAAATGTCATAGTCAAGAGTTCCTTTCAGATACTTTAGTATTCTCTTCGTTGCTGCTAGGTGTGTTATTTTTGCCTTCTGCATGAATCTACTTACCATACACACACTGTATGCTAGATCAAGCCTTGTGTGACAATGATATC